CGGGGGAGCGGAGGGCCTGTGAGAGCAGAGGCAGCCAGTGCCGCGCCCACCGCTTGGCCAGAGCCTCCTCGGGGCCCTGCCGCCCCGCCAGCCACTCGGCGCGCTGCTGCTGCACCAGCGCCTTGTACACCTCGGTGGCAGCCGGACACAGGTGGTTGGTGGCAAGGCAGCTCAGGAGGTGCTGCGGCAGGTCCTGGTAGGCGTCCAGGACCTAGGAGAAAAGCCAAATGATGGCTGTAACGGACACTTGATGGGTGGCTGGCATGCATTGTCCCCTCGTCTCACCACTGGAGTAAAGGCTGCATATGGGGCAGGACATGTCTCGGCACAGACAGCACTTTCTGGCTGTGCCCCGGCAACTGCTGGTACCCCAAGAGCCACTGCTTTCAGCCAGCTCTGGCCAGATTTTGGGGGCATCAAGTGACAGAGAGCTCTGCTCCCAGCTGGCAATCCCCCAGGACACATCTGACAATATCCCCTGGGTCCCTGCCTGGGGCCACATAATTTTTTTCATGTCGAAGCCCAGAAAAATGTTCCCGGGAGCACCGAGCTGGTGTATGCAGGCTTGCCAGAGGTCGCCAGCAGGGAGAGGGGATCCCGCAGTCCTGGGGATGCAGCTGAGAGCTAACGGGCCTCGTCCCTAAACGTGTCAGCGGTACATGCTGTGGTGCCTCCAGCTCGTGTCCCACCCTGTGGCTTGAGCTGCCAGATGCTGTGTCACCCCATTAGCAGCGCACATGTGTCAGCCCTCCCCGGCTCGGCCAACTCCTTCTGCTGGCCCAAACTGCCTCTCCTCCTCCTGCCTGGGCTTCCCTACCTTCTGACTGCCCACGTAGGGGACGATGGCACACAGAGGCACGTATCTGGCTTTGATTTGCCACGGCATTGAAATAACCCTCTGCAGCATCTGCCTGTAGAGAGGCCTCTCCTGGTCTTCGAAGTGCCTGCACTCCAGACAGTACATCTCCAGGAGCAGCCGAAAGGAGTTGTGGATAAACTCGGACACCCCTTCCACCTGGCAGGGGGAAGGATGGCAACCGAGAGAGGTTAGAGTTGGTTCCCCCTTCTGCTTATAGAAAAGCTCCTTTGCCGTTCTGTGGTGACCAGTGTTTTCACTGGGTAGCCACAGGTTAAGGAGCTGGGCATCACTTCATCCACCAGCGGGGATGGTGGGAGAAGAGCCAGGGTGTGACCATGCGTGGCCTTCAGTCAGCTAGGACTGTACCACCAGCTGCTGTGTGGGGAGGTCAAAGCACTGCAATCCAGCCCTGCAGAGGCCATGTGTGATGAGTGCTTAGTCCTCAGCAGTGCAGGTGCCCCTCCCCTGTAAGCCCAAGGCAGCCACAGCCAGCCTGCTGGCAAGGGGGGCACAGCTCTCCCTCCTGCCTGCAGCTCCAGGAGGACCCAACAAGAGTGCTGTGCTTGGCCAGGGGACAGATGGAGCAAAAACAGGCCAGGTGTGTAATGCACAACCTGTAGCAGGAACGGAGGCTGAGCTGGGCAGAGAAAAGGTTGTTTCTGGTTGCAGTGGCACTGGGTTTTGGCTCTACCTGGCCTTACCGGGGTCTCAGCGTTGTTCCACACCAGCTGGGTGAGCTGGCTGAGGAGATCTGAGTCCTCAGCCAGGATGCGGCTCCCCTTGAGGCGCCAGATCTCAGGCAGGCTCTCCTGGAGGCGTTGCAGCCACAGGGAAAAAACTGAAAGCAGAGAGTGGCCTAATGCAGTGGTGAGCCCAAGAGCCTCACGTGGAGCACAGCCCAGTGTGGGTCGTTTGGGGGACTCGGGGAACCTAGGCACAAAGCGGCCAGTTTCTTCATCAGCCCATGCAGATATACAGAAGTACGTGTGAGTTAGGATTAAATGGGCTGAAGTAGATATTAACAGCAGTTTCCAACCAGTTATCTAGAGTCAGAAGTGAATTTTCCCCCAGAGAAGATCAAATGCTCTGGCAGCTCCATGGTGGCTGCTGTAGTGCATCACAAGGACAGTGAATCCTCTAAACTCCCCTGCTCTGCTGTGATGGGGTTGTAGTCTCTTACCTTGGAAGCAGTAGTAGTGGCAGTCCTTCTGCTCTTTGCTAAGGGCGCACACAGTGGGAAAGAGCACGTCCAGCAGCAGGCAAGCCTGTGGGAACACGGCCGTGTTAGGGAGCAGGCAGATAGGGGCATCCAGGGCAAGAAAACCACTCCACGAGACAGGAGAGGAGGCCACTTTGTGTTTCTCTGCTGCTACAGCAGCTTATAGCTACCTTGATCTTCCTGTCTGAAAGTCCTCGACTCTTAAGTCTAGGAGATGCTGCTACTCAGCAGAGCTGGAGGCTGCTCTGTGTCCAGGGGCAGCCCGGGGGTTTATGCTGTACTAGCTGGGGGCTAACACCGTGGCTGCTGCTTTGCTTGCATAGGGCTGCTTTCGGCCCTGCCTGACTTCTCAGCCCCTCAGGAGAGGGAAATCACTGCTCAGGTGTCTCTAGCAGAAAGCACGCTCCTGCCTAGCGCATCATGCGCAGAGAAGGCAGTGCGCTCTGTGGGACGCCTCCAGCCGGTGCAGCCTGCCTACACGGGCAGAGGTCTTACCTGCTGGTATCTAAAACCCTCACTGGTGGTTTCCAAAGCGACACCTCCCACAAAAGGCTCTCAAAATCTCTGGCTGTTGAGCCTGAGCACTCCTACCTGGTGGGTGGAGCTCTCCAGCTGGCAGCTGAGGATGTCCGTCTTGCAGCAGGTCAGCAAACCTCTGGTCAGCACCAGCCTCTCCAGCCCGTCTGGCTCCAAGACAGAAATGGCCTCCATCGTCAGCTCCCCAAACTTCAGCTCCCCCACACCTAGGTGGAAATGGCTGTGTTAGCTGGGAGAAGGACTTGCGCCAAGCCCAAATACTTCTCCAAGAGCAAACTCCCCTTGCTTGTCTGGCTAATCCCAGAGCTACCGCCAGAGAAGGCTGGTGGCAGTAGGGTCTCTGGGGCTCAGAGAGCAGGACACTACTGTGCAATCTGGTTTGGACTCCTGGTGAGTTGCATCAGCCTCTGTCCCCTCACACCCAAACATGCCTAGCCTCGATGTCCCCTGGGTAAGAGGCTGTTCCCAGCTCAGGAACGAGTGCGAACCTTGGTCGGCGAGCTGGAATAGAGCCTGTGCGGCGCTGGCCCCGCACTCAGGCTGCGGGGCCGTGTTCACCAGCATGCTCAGCGCAGTGCCCGCCAGCAGGCGCGTGTCCTTGTTCGGGGCCTGGACACACAGGGGAGGTGAAGGCACAGCTGAAAATGCCATTTAAGAAACAAAACTCCATTTAAACCCTCCTTCTCTCCATGCACATGTAACACACAGAGGCAAGGTCCCTCAGGACGTTCAGGCTGTTTCTGTAGTGACCTCCTGGGGGAACTGGGATGTCACCAGTGGTGTTTTGGGGAGGACAGTGATGCTCTGCTCCCCAGGCCAGGCGAGCGCTGCCCCGCGGTGCCATGGGCTCCGGGCAGGGGGCCGCTGGGGTCGTACGCACCTTCCCCACGACGACCTGCAGCAGCAGTCCCAAAACGCTCTGCAGCGTCTCACTCCTCTCTGCCTCGCTCCACACCAGGGGGGCCACGTCCTTCGGCAGCGCCTGGAAGAGCTGGAGGCAGGCCTGGGGCAGAGGGGACCACAGGGATGGCTTTAAGCAACCTTCACCTCCGAAGAAACCCCCGGTTGCTCCTCGAGGGCTCCCCGGGGACGGGACAGCCGTTTGAAGCAGGTCATATGCTGGATCCCCTCAGGCTGTCCCTGCCCATGGGCAGGGGGTCCCAGCAGGTCCCTGTCCTTGCAGGGGACGGATCCTCCCCGCCCTCAGACACGGCTCTTACCTTGACGGCCGCGTAGCCCCAGTGGCCGGCCCTGGCCGGCGGGCTCTGCAGCACCCCGCCCAAGGTCGCGGCCAGGCGCCGCCGCAGCGGGGCCACG